CCGTGGAAGTCTGTCGCGCGGCGTGCGAGGTGTCGCCAGACACGGGGGTCGTCCGGTCCTAGGAAAAGCGCCCGGAGCCCGCTGGGGAAGAGCAATTAGAGCTCGTCGACCTGGAAGCCGGTTTTGTTTGCACAGTTGCACGCTCCGCGCCGGCTCCGGGAGTGAGATTTCTCAGCGGTCTTGCCGTCTTTGCAGATCACCGGGGGGTGGGCGACTTGCTTGCGTAACAGGCCAGCTGCTTGTGCGGAAGTCTTGAAGTGATGCGTCCCCCGTCCCAGGCACCGTTACGTGGCATTTCGGGGTCAGCAACACATCCGACCAGAGGATGCAGTACAACACCTCTTCTTATAATTAAGGGAAGGGTGTCCGGGGTAGAAACTTACAGTTTGTAAATAAACAACGCAGCCCGGTGGAAGGGCTGCTTCCAGCTTAATGAGCACCACGAGCCCTGCGTTTTCCTTCTGTGGTTTCCAAAAAAGGACTTTCCTCGGTGGAACTCCTGGGGAGGACACTTAAATGAGGGGCTCAGGTTTCAACATCACGTCTCGCGTCGCGGGTGAATAGGTTGCATCCTATGATTCAACACTGCGAGGCAGCCGTCCAGCGGTAGGCTTGGGGTTTTTTTTTTAATGGGGAATTGACATGAACTTCGCCCAAATACGGACGGGCTTTGACAGCTAGGGCCAGAAACAACTTGTCAAAGCTGTTCTCCAGGCTACGCCTTTAAGAATAGAGATCCCCAGCGTTCCTGCCGGCTCAGCCTACACCCGTCGCCACCCTGTTCCCATCCCAAGCTTGCGTTTGAATCCTCTCCGAGCTGACGCTAGGCCAGTGCTCTGGTCTATAATAATCCAATATTTTTCGTTTTTCATGCCCTCAGGCCAAATCTTTCCTCAAATTAAGTCGCAGTGAAACTCCCAGGTACTGCAAATTTCCGAGCCTTTGGCAGAATACCCACTTTTTAAAGGGGACACTTAAGACAACCAGATGCTCTAGGAAGCTCTCCAAACTGCCCAGTGGGTTTTGTCATATTTCCTCCAGAAGAACATGAGGGTGAAGCGGCAACGGCTGCCAGAATCCCCATTCAGAACTGCAGAAGTTTATAGTAGGCCGGAGGGGGGCTGCCCTGTCAACCCCTCTTTGCAGATAGAATTCAGGGATGTCCACAACTTGGTGTCGCCAGGTAAAGGTAAACAGAAATTAACGAATACTGTCGGAAGGCTTCCAGGATACCAACCCGTGGGCCTTGCCATCTGAGGGCACGGAAGGATAATTTGGAGCAAGTCAGAGTCGAAGGCTAGCACGGAATTATAGTGGTCTTGTTTTTGTTTTGAGTCGGGTCTCACTCTGTCACCCAGGCCGGAATGCAGTGGCACAATCAGGGCTCACCACAGGCTTGACCTGGGCTCAGGCAGTCCTTCCACCTCAGCCTTCCAAGTAGCTGGGACTACAGGTTCGTGCCACCATGCCTGCCTCATTTTTTTAATTATCTGTAGAGACAAGGTCTTGCTATGTTGCCCAGGCTGGTCTCGAACTCCTGGGCTCAAGTGATCTTTCTGCCGTTGTCTCCCAGAGCACTGGGATTCCGGGCTTGAGCCACCACGCCTGGCCAGAATCATAGATTTTTAGGGCAGAGAGAGATCTGAGATCTTCAGAATTGACTCCTTCATTTACATTTACCTTGATTTTACCTTGACACTGAAAGTGGAGAACGTGAAGTGATTTTCCCAGATTCCATCATCTGCAGCGAGGGATTAACATGACAGGTCACTCACTTGCCCCACCAGCTTTTGTTTCTGAGATCACAGGAATCCAGTGTTGTGTTAATCCCATATGATTGGCTGGCCCCTCGCAGCCAACTGTTATTCCTACCCGCCAGATAAATTCACAGGACCACAAATCGAAATGGACAGGGAACTTCCGCGTCCTGGCATCTGCAGAGGCTCGAAGTAACCGAATTCAGAATCCAGGCGTCGGCTCCTTCGTTGCAGAGGCTGCTTTGTAAAGCCACTTGGCCTTCTGCTGGATGAAGGAAGAGAAGAAGCGTCCAGGAAAGGGTTTGTCCTGCAACCGGGCCTTCCTCATAGGACTCGGCTGTATAAAAAAGAGCTGGGCACTGCTTTAGAAGTGCCCCAAGACTCCAACTTTGTTTTGTGAGCTTTTACTGAGCACATACGAGGTGCCAAGCACTAAGCCAGACACTGGGTCTGGAAGGAGCTGCTGACTGCCCTGTAAGCACCTGCTCTTGCAATCATATATGCAAAATGCAGGTGTTACCACCTGGGAGGTTTTAGAAACCGGGTTATTCTGTTCCCCTTCTATATCGTGGTCTACCTTCAAAGCTAAAGACACTAGGACATAGGATGCTATAGGCCAATAAAGGCATATACACCTTGGCGCAGAGTAGGTTACGGGTGTCATCTTTCCTTGATGATGATCCCAGTAATAAAAAGAAGAAAGTTGTCCAAAGGCCAAGAACACAGTGACAGTTACATGCAAGGCCAGGCGTGGTGGCTCACGCCTATAATCCCAACACTTGGGGAGGCTGAGGTGAGTGGATCGCCTGAGCCCACGGGTTCGAGACCCGCCTGGGCAACTTGGCGAGAACTCATATCTACAATAAATCAAAAAATCAGCCGGGCGTGGTAGCGCATGCCTGTAATTCCGGCTACTCGGAAGGCTGAGGCGGAAGGATCGCCGGATCCCAGCAGATCGAGGCTGTGGTGGCTGTCAGCATGCCACTGCACTCCAACCTGGGCGGCAGAGTGAGACTCCGACTCGGAAAAAAAAAAGGAAAGTTACATGCAGCTCTAGCTACAACAGAGCAGCTCAGACACAAAGCGGAGTTTTAAAAAACAAGTAAAGGAATCGATTGCCCAGAAGGTAAACTGAAGTCACGCCATTGAAAGTCCACCACGTTCTGAACAGCTGGTCAGGTCTAATCAGAGGCCAGTCACCTACATCCATTTTGTGAGAACCATCTGGCACGTGCACGTCTCCTGGCTTGCTTCCTTGGGCCACCAGGCATGGCCTGAGGAATGTGCTCATGGCATTTAGTGCTAAATTGAAAGTGTCAACTGTTCGGAATGGATGGAGTCTTGAAGACCAACCTCCTCATTCGACTTTTGAGGAACTTGGACCCAGAGAGGTAGAGTGGCTTTCTCAAAGTCATGCAGTTAAGGAGTTCACAGACCTCTTTATACGTGGAGGGAAGGAGGGCTTTTTATCTTTGAATAATTTCTTCACAATCTATATAAAACACTTCCTTCCCCCTCGCTCTGCCCCCAGCCCCCGGCTTTTCTGATCTTGTCTTGTACAGCTAGGAGCCCTGGGAGAGAGGAGACTATTTTAGTCAAGTCTCTTCACGTCTCTGGGGCTCAGCTTCCCCCTTTTGCAAAATGGCACTTTACAAAGAGGAGTTGAACAAAATGTGCTCCAGGTTCCCTTGCAGCTTGGTGGGCGCCGTGGTTGGTCCTCAGCCCACCGTTTTGCAAGCGCAAAACCCGGATCCTTCGGGCAAAGGGAGGGGGGAGGGCAGCCATCACAGACCCACAGTGCTGGCCTGACACAGAGCCCTCTGGAGGTGGCAGGGCCTCCCAGCTTTTACAAAAACTGCAATCCAGTCCCAGCCATCTGAATGCCCTCCGACAAAAAGATCGTCTCCTGATCCTCAGTGATGTCAGGCTCAAGAAAGGCCCAGCTTGCCTTTCTAGGGCCTTTATCAAATTTTTATCTCAGTATGTTTTGATTCAAGTTGGTCCTGAGCCCCCACTGAAACTCTGAAACCTTACGAACACCCTCTGGATTGGAGCCGTTGTGCCAGTGTGTCTTGAACTTAGTAGCCACTTAGTCCTGACTGCTTGTTAGAAATGTGTGGCCCCTAGATTTTGTGAGCTTCTGGTTTAATCGAGCCAAGAAGATCAGTGCATAAAAGTAAGCGACACCGCATCCCTCAGTGGCACCTGGCATGTGAAGAAGAGCCCTCGGGGTGAGCTGGAAGGAGATGGCACGGCCACCACCAGGCAGGCAGGAGCCAGAGGGCCGGGAGGAGCCCCTTTGAGCAGAGCCACGAGGCGAGTCTTAGGGCAAGCCTTCGAGCCGGAAGAAATAAGGCTGCAGAGGCAGGTTAGGCAGGACGTGGAAAGCCAAGCTAGTTAGGAGGTTTTATCCGCCAGAAGCAGGAAAGCCAGTGAGAAAGACTGAGCAGAAACACGCCACAACTGCACAGCATTTCTTTCTCTTTTTTTGGGAGTTGGAGTCTCACTCTTTGTCACCCAAGCTGGAGTGCAGGGACAGGCTCCGGCCACCGCAGCCTCGACCTGCCGGGCTCCGGTGGTCCTTCCGCCTCAGCCTTCCAAGGAGCTAGAGCTACAGACGCACGCCACCACGCTCGGCTAGTGCACAGTATTTCAGGAAGATGTGCCGTGCCGGACACGTGGAGTCTGGCAACAGGCGGTGAAGGAGTCGTGGTCTTCGGAAAAGCTCAAACCACTGGCTGGTAGAGGATGGGGTGGAGGGGGTCAGGCCAAGGCCATCGCCTCCCCCTATCCCAGCCCCGCCCCTCCACAGAGAGAGACGCTACTCTAAAACCCATGCGGGAGGCTTTTTTGGCTGTTTCTGGTCTTTGCTCCTGTGCCCCAGCTGCCTGATCTAGAGAGTGGAGGGTGTGGTGGGGAGCTCGTCTGTGGCTGGGTCACGTGGTGGTTGGCAGCTTTTGAGGCCTCTTCTCGCTGTTCTCCACAGAGGCTGCACGAGCCCACACTCCGGCCAACAGTGCGTGAGTTCCCTCTTCTCCACATCCCCCCCAGCAGTTGCAGTTGTCACTTTGATAATCATCACCCTGACTAGGGGGAGATGACACCTCATGGTTTTATGTGTACATTTCCCTGATGATTAGTAATGTTGAGCATTTTGCTAGCTCCATGTCTGTCTTCTTTTGAGAACTGTCTGTTCAGGCCATTTGCCCATTTTTTAATTGGATTTTGTTGTTTTTTTTTTTTTGCTGTTGAGATGTGTGAGTTTTTTGTAGGTTCCAGACATCAATCCCATGTCAGACAAATAGTTGGCAAAGATTTTCTCCCATTCCGTAGGTTAGGTTGCCTTTTCACTCTGTTGCTGGTTTCCTTTGCTGTGTAGAAGCTTTTTAGTTTGAGATGACCCTATTGTTTATTTTTGCGTTTGTTGCCTGCGCTTTTGAGGTCTTACTCATAAAAGCATTTCCGCTATGTTTTCTTTCTTTCTTTCTTTTTTTTTTTTTTTGAGTCGGAGTCTCACTCTTGTTGCCCAGACTGGAGTGCAGTGGCTGCTCTCGGCCACCGCAGCCTCGACCTGCCGGGCTCCGGCGATCCTTCCACCTCAGCCTTCCAAGGAGCTGGAACTACAGGCGCATGCTACCATGCCCGGCTGATTTTTTATTTGTTGTAGAGATGAGGTCTCGCCAAGTTGCCCGGACTTGTCTCAAACCTTGAGCACAGGCAGTCCTCTCACCTCTGCCTCCCAAAGTGCTGGGATTATAGGCTCGAGCCACCGCACCCAGCTCCCCTATGTTTTCTTTTGATAGTTGTATAGTTTCAGGTCTTAGATTTAGGTCTTTGATCCATTTTGAGTTGATTTTTTGCATAATGTGAGAGGTAGGAGTCTAGTTTCATTCTTCTATGTAGAGATATCCAGTTTTCCAAGCACCATTATTAAAGAGACTGTCCTTTCCCCAATAAGTGTTCTGGGTAATTTTGTCAAAAATCAGTTGATTTTTGATACATAGATTAATTTCTGGGCCCTCTATTCTATTCTGTTGGTCTGTGTTTCCATTTTTATGCCAGTACCATCCCATTTTGGTTACTACAGCTTTGTAGCATATTTTGAAGTCCCACAGTATGATGCCTCAAATTTTGTTCCTTTGGCCTTGGATTGCTTTGGCTATTCTGGGACTTCTGTAGTTTCATACAAATTTTAACCTTTTTCCCTATTTCTATGCAATTAGTCCTTTTTTTTTTTTTTTTTTTTGAGTTGGAGTCTTACTCTGTCACCCAGACTGGAGTCAGTGACATACTCCCAGCCACCGCAGCCTCAACCTGCTGAATTCAGACGATCCTTCCACTTCAGCTTCCAAGTAGCTGCAACTACAGGTGTGCACCACTATGCCCAGCTAAGTTTTTGATTTACTGTAGAGAGGAGGTCTTGCCATGTTGTCCAAGCTGGTCTCGAACCCCTGGGCTCAGGCAATCCTCTCACCTCCTAAAGTGCTGGAATTACAGGCATGAGCCACTGTGCCTGGCTGCTTTTAGTATCCTGATAGCGATTGCACTGAATCTGTAGATTGCTTTGGGTAGTATGTAAAGGATTCTTGGTTGGGTGCAGTAGCTCACACCTATAATCCCAGCACCTTGGGAGGCCGAGGCAGGAGGATCACTTGAGCCCAGGAGTTCGAGACCGGCCTGGGCAACACAGCAAAGCCCTGTCCCTCAATGAAAAATAAAAATAAGAAAACTTAAACTTGAAGTTGATGACCATTAAGAAGTGTAAGACCATGGACTCATTGGTTATCATAGATATAAATTAACTTTTAGTTGGGCCAAATATATACATCACTGTTTAATTTTTTAATTTTTTTTTAAGTCAGAGTCTCACTCTGCCACCGAGGCTGGAGTGCACTGGCACACTCACAGCCACCACAGCCTCGACCTGCTGGGCTCCGGCGATCCTTCTGCCTCAGCCTTCCAAGTAGCTGGAACTACAGGTGTGTGCCACTGTGCCCAACTAATTTTTTGATTTATGGTAGAGATGAGGTCTCACCAAGTTGCCCAGGCAGGTCTCAAACCTATGGGCTTAGGCAACCCTCTCTCTTCCACCTCCCAAAGTGCTGGGATTGCGTGCACAAGCCACCACATCTGGCCACATCACTGTTTAAAAGTGTGCATCATTGCAGAGCCTTTGAAAAGACAATACTCGTGTGCTAGAGCCCAATCCTGAAGACTTGACTTAAGCCCACCTCCTTCCGGTGCTAAATCAGAGGCTCCTCTTGCCTAGCAGTGTTAGGATGCAAGTTCTGCACGTTTTGATGGTTGTGGCCGTTTGCTTGGGAAGGCACCATGAGGCCGGGGGTGACTCCATTCACTGGTGCCCAGACAGGGGCCCCTAGGTTTGTCATGCCTATTTGGCCACCTTATCCTAGAGTATTTGTCATGTGCTCACAAATTCAGTTGTTAACATACCAAGTGATAGTTCACTTTGAGAAACTTGCCCGTGGCAAACAAACTCCCAAAGCAGGGTGTCCACATTTGGATTTATAGTTACATTCTGTCCGTGTAGGTGCATCCACATCATAATCAGAGTGTTGCTTACTGAGTGGAAAATGGGAACGAGAAGAGCTGTCTGGATGATCGTAACAGCCAGGGGCATCAAGCAGCAGCCCTGTGGTCTCCAAGCGCTTGTGTTGTGGAAGGCGCCGGACAGACTGCCAGCGTCGGCTCTTCAGCTTCCCTGCTCTAGGCTTCATTTCTGGTCAACATTCCTTATGGCCAATTCAGTCTTTGCCCAAATTGTCTCCTTCCAGGTCAGCATCACCCCGGTCTCATGATCCTTTTGAGTCCTTCAAAGTGCTTCTAAGTATTCTGCTCTGGTTGCCTGTTGGTTGGTTTGTTTCTCCCATTTGAGTGTCACAGGCAAGTCTTTCTTTCAAGTTCTTCGGGGGCCCCGTGTGAAATACAGAGACTTCTGTCTACATATGTATGTGTAAAACGGTCCAAAGCCGTTGTACTGACTGTGCATGGTTTAAGTGTTCAATTACCCAAGAAATGAGGTAAGTAATTTTTACCTACTATGTTTGCTAAGGAGTATCAGAATCGTCGACCCTCCGGCTGTTGCTGGTCTGATTTTTCTTTTGACTTTTTATTCCAGATCAAGAATGACCCAGAAGAAATTAAAGCTTTGCTCCAGAGCCGTGTACACCCAAGTGCCTGACGGAGGATGGGGCTGGGCGGTTGCCGTGGCTTTCTTCTTCATCGAGGTCTTTACCTATGGCATCATCAAGACGTTTGGCGTCTTCTTTAATGACTTGATGGACAGTTTTGATGAGTCCAATAGCAGGATCTCGTGGATCATATCCATATGTGTGTTTGTCTTAACATTCACAGGTTGGTACATCTTTCAGCCTAAGCGTGGCCTGAGCGTCGGCCCCTCTGAGTCCGTCCAACTAGGTCTGGGCAGCCAGTGTGATTGCGATGCTTCCCTTATACAACCTGTGGGCCCTTCCTGCTCTCAGTGAAGTGATATAGTTTGCACAGGTTTGGACACTGGCAAAAACAAGAGGCACTGAAGGGAAAGGCCTTGTTGGCTAGCCTTGACTGCCCGTCACCTGACACAGGTGATCAAACATCTACTGTCTCACGCGCTTGGGATTCTAGAGATGCCACTGAAGAGAGCAGTCAACCCCAGTTCGGGCAGGGAGTGGTCATTGTCTAAGGAGCACCACCAAAATCCTGCTGGCACACCCGGCCGGTCTCACAGTGACAGGTTGGAAACATGTCAGTGTGGACACGAGAAGGAGAGAGACGGCACCTGTTCTGGGAGACGTGGGAGACACGCGGGGTGGACACTGTCCTGCGGGGATGCCCTGGGGCCCACACACCTCCCTCCCTCAGGACACCGCTCGGCCGGCCCAGGCGGCGCTCCCTGGTCAAAGAGCAGAAAGTAAAATAGGCTCTTAGTAGCCAGGCTCGGTGGCTCAGCCTGTCATCCCACGCTTTGGGAGGCTGAGGTGAGTGGATGGCTGAGCCCGCGGGTTCGAGACCCGCGTGGGCAACTTGGCGAGGCCTCGTCTCTACAACAAATCAAAAATTAGCTGGGCGTGGTAGCACACGCCTGTAGTTCCAGCTACTGGAAGGCTGAGTGGAAGGATGGCCGGAACCCAGCAGGTTGAAGCTGTGGTGGCCGGGAGCGGCCACTGCACTCCAGTCTGGGCCATGGAGTGAAACTCCAACTGAAAAAAAAAAAAAAGGGCTCTTAGTATCGTCTGAAACATGCTAATTTTCACTTGGCCCATGGCAGTGTCACTGGGAAGTCTTATTCCCAAGTTTTCAGGGGAGCCCATGTGCCACACAAAGATTTGTATATATATGCATATGTGTGAAATTGTCCAAAGGCATTATACTAATAGCACATGCTTTAAATAGTTAATAACCTGAGACATGGGGTGCGTAGTGTTTGTTTTAAATACAGATAGCAGGCCGGGCTTGGTGGCTCAGCCTGTAATCCCGCGCTTTGGGAGGCCAAGGTGAGTGAATTGCCTGAGCCCACGGGTTCGAGACCCGCCTGGGCAACTTGGCGAGACCTCATCTCTTCAATAAATCAAAAATCAGCCAGGCGTGGTAGCGCGCGCCTGCAGTTCCAGCTCCTTGGAAGGCTGAGGCGGAAGAATCGCCGGAGCCCAGCAGGTCGAGGCTGCAGTGACCGGGAGCGGCCACTGCACTCTAGTCTGGGCAACTGAGTGAGACTCCAACTCAAAAACATAAAAAAATAAAATGAAATAAAAATACAGATAGCTGCCTCCTTTGAGCACGCATCCCAGGTTCCACGAGTTCATCCATCCTTGAATCCTTGACAGCGCCAAGGTTTTTCCGAGAGAACAGAGCTGTTGAACTCAACTTAGAAAGTTTGCCAAGCTGACCTTAGATTTTTCTAACTCTACCCTGTGGAACTATCGTCTCTGAAGTTATTACTGAAGTTACCTTCTTTTTTTTGGTAGAGATGAGGCCTCGTTATGTTATTTTGGACTCTTCTGGCCTCAAGCAGTCCTCCTACCCTGGCCTCCCAAAATGTTGGGATTATAGGCCTAAGCCAGTGGGCCCAGAATAAAGCCCTTCTCTTAACTGTAGGTCATTTTCTGCCTTAGAACATCTTTAAAAGGCAGCTTCATGTGTTTTTACCCGTTGGGTAAAGTGGGAATTTAGTTTGTCAGCCCTCATGCTGTCTCTTACAAGTTTCAAGAAGTAGTCCCTATTTCCAGTTTAAGTGAGTATTAAAATAACTGCTGGGCGCAGTGGCTCACGCCTGTAATCCCAGCACTTTGGGAGGTGGAGGCGAGAAGATTGCCTGAGCCCAGGGGTTGGAGACCAGCCTGGGCAACTTGGCAAGACCTCATCTCTACAACAAATAAAAAAAATTAGCTGGGCATGGTGGCACACGCCTGTAGTTCCAGCCACTTGGAAGGCTGAGGTGAAAGGATTGCCTGAGCCTAGCAGGTCGAGGCTGCAGTGGCTGTGGTGTGCCACTGCACTCCAGCCTGGGCAACAAAGTAAGATTCCTACTCCAAAAAAAAAAAAAAATTGGGGGTATTAGGATAACTTAATTTTTAAATTGTATAGTGCTTTCTAGAAAGGTAACTTAAATGAATTAGAACTAAAATTTTACATTTGGTAATCTTTCAAAAGCGAAAATTCCAAAGCTTGGCTTTTTTTTTGTTTTTGGGGGGTTTTTTGGGGTTTTTTTTGAGTCAGAGTCTCACTCTGTCGCCCAGGCTGGAGTGCAGCAGCATGCTCATGGCCTCCACCCCCGTGAGGGCCTGCCGGGCTCCGGCGATCCTTCCGCCTCAGCCTTCCAAGGAGCCAGAACTGTAGGCGCACACCACCACACCCGGCTAATTTTGTTGGTATTCGGTAGAGGCGAGGTCTCACCAAGTTGCTCTCGAACCCCTGGGCTCAGGCAGTCCTCTCGCTTCAGCCTCCCAAAGTGCTGAGATTACAGGGTTGAGCCACTCCACCTGGCCAAGCTTAAAACTTTTATAAACCCCCCCCCAAAAAAATAGGAGTAAACAAGACATTTCCAGGCTGGATGTGGTGTCATGTGCCTGTAATCCCAGCACTTTGGGAGTCCCAGGCAGGAGGATCCCTTCAGCCTACCAGGGTGAGGCCAGCCCGGGGAACATAGCAAGATCCCATTTCTACAAAAGAAATTTGTTTTAGATTAGAAAATATAGTTTATTTAGAAGTAAATTAGAGACAGAGAGAGAGAGAGAGATTCACCTCCCTGAGGCCGGGAAGGGGGCCAAAGCCAGGGAGCCTGGCAACAGCCATAGCTCAAAGAGCACATGGTCACACCAGAGTCTAGCGAGGCAACGGCCAAAAACAGTTTTTAAAGAAATGTCCAGAAGGTGATATGTCAGAAGAAAATTCTTTCAAATGCTATTATTCTAGTTGTTAGTGTTTTGAGTCAACATCCTGCCTCAAAATGACAGTGGTTTCATTATGAGCTACATTCAATATTAGCCTTCATTCTAACAGCAGATGCAATATATGTGCATGGACTAACCCCAGCAAAAACGGAATCTATTTTCCCCTGCCCTTTCTATCCAGCACGTGGCTCTTTCTTGACCCAGCTCTTGATGGCTCACTCACCCCAGTGTTGTCAAGTCAGTATGAAGTGGCCTATAACTAGGAAACTAACTGGCCGGATTTGAGTGTTCAAGGGGATACAGCTTACCGAAGCTGAGCAAATCATGCTTCACCAGCCACTCTGAATTATCTGCCATGGCAACCCTCCTGTACGGGCATATGACAGAATTCACATACTTTCACGCTGTAAAGAAACTAACTAGAATCTGACCTCAAATGGAGCTTTAAAAAAAAGCAGTGAGTATAGAAAAGGAATTAATTCGCAGCTGGGCTCAGTGGCTCAGCCTGTAATCCCGTGCTTTGGGAGGCTGAGGTGAGTGGATTGCCTGAGCCCGCGGGTTCGAGACCCGCCCGGGCAACTTGGTGAGCCCTCATCTCTACGATGAGTCAAAAAATTAGCCGGGCGTGGTAGCACACGCCTGTAGTTCCAGCGACTTGGAAGGCTGAGGCGGAAGGATCGCCGGAGCCCGGCAGGTCAAGGCTGCGGTGGCTGGGAGCGTGCCACTGCACTCCAGTCTGGGCGATAGAGTGAGACTCCAACTCAAAAAAAAAAAAAGAATAATTCAAGCAATTATAGAAAACCAAAACCAATTTCTGTCACATAATAACATGAATTAAATGCATATATAATTTTGTAAGCACTCATGGTGAGTCCAAATCATCTAAAAATTACTATGACTCTGGCTTTCTCTTTTTTAAAAAAAATTTTTTTAGAGACAGGGCCTTGCTCTGTTGCTTAGGCTAGAGTGCAGTGGCACGATCACAGCTCACAATGACCTCGACTGCCTGGACTTGAGGGATGCCTCCTGAGCAGCTGGGACTACAGGCGTGCGCCACCATGCCCTGCTAACTATTTATTGTAGAGACGAGGTCTCACTACATTGCCCAGGTCTGGTCTCAAACTCCTGGGCTCAAGCAGTCCTCCTGCCTCAGCCTCCCCAAATGCTTAGGATGACAGGCGTGAGCTACCGTACCCAGCCAGGCTTTCTCTTTCAGGAGCCTGAAGAATCGTGTCAAATTTGGACAAACGATAAACCAATTCCTGAACTGACTTACGTAGCCATTGCATGAAGTGTAGTACGCATCTGGCGTCATCTCTCCACGTGCAGGACGTGGGGGCAGGAATCGTAGGCGCGAGTCCTGCAGCCTGAGTTAGAATACCGCTTGTGTTCCGGCAGCGCCCTTGGCCACGGTCCTGAGCAACCGCTTCGGACACCGCCCGGTGGTGATGGCAGGAGGGCTGCTCGTCAGTGCCGGGATGGTGGCCGCCTCCTTCTCGCGAGAGGTTTCCCACATGTATGTCGCCATCGGCCTCGTCTCTGGTAAGTGTCCTCCTTGGCTCAGAAGCGCTCCGAGTCCTTGGTGTGAGGGCCAAGGAAGAGGAAGGAGGGAATTAACCCCAGACTGCATCTTTTTTCCTGCTTTTTCCTTAAAATTAACAGTGGCTCAGATCAGTAGTTCCGAACTGGGCTGGGTGGACACCAGGGGACTTGGGAACCTATTCTCAAGTGCCCAAGAGCTTTGGTTTGACTTTTTTTCCTGTTTAATATTTACCAGTGATGAAGACAGCTTGTGCTAGAGTAGGCAGCCAAAAGACACCGTTTTTACAAAATAAGACTTGAATTTCTTCTTGAGTTGGAGTCTTACTGTGTCGCCCAGGCTGGAGGACAGTAGCACACTCCCAGCCACCACAGTCTCAACCTGGGCTCAGGGATCCTTCCGCCTCAGCCTTCCAAGCAGCTGGAACTACAGGCATGTGCCACCACACCTACCTAATTTTTTGATTTATTGTAGAGCCGAGGTCTTGCCAAATTGCCCAGGCTGGTCTCAAACCCATGGGCTCCAGCAGGCCTCTCACCTCGGCCTCCCAAAGTGCTGGGATTATAGGTGTAAGCCACTGTGCCTGGCCTAAGACTTGAATTTCTTTCTTTTTTTTGAGTTTTGCAGTCTCACTCTGTCACCCAGGCTGGAGTGCGGTGGCACGCTCACAGGCACCCCAGTGTCAACTCACTGAGGTCCGGCGATCCTGCCACCTCAGCTTTCCAAGTAGCCAGAATTACAGGTGCGCACTACCACGCCTGGCTAATTTTTTGATTTTATTGTAAAGATGGGGGTCTCGCCAAGTTGCCCGGGCTGGTCTCGAACCCTTGGGCTCAGGCAGTCCACTCGCCTCGGCCTCCCAAAGTGCTGGAATGACAGGCTGAGCCGCTGAGCCTGGCCCAAATACAAGTCTTAAATATTCACTAAGATTTTTTTCGTTACATTTATGTAAATTTGGGGGGTCTGCAAAAAAGGGCAAAAAAAGCAACCCAGCAGACAGTTCTTACACTCTTCGTGCTGCAAAACAACTGCCGCTGCTCACCCAAACCTTTCGCTGCCACATCCCCGTCCCCCAGAAAGAATCATCTGGCTCCCAGAACTTAAGGTTCGAAAAGCAAAGGCGAAGCCCGGCTCTGAGCACACCCGACAGTCTCGGGCAGCTCGGTCCCAGCTCTCACGGCCCCTTCTGACTTCCTTCCACAGGCCTGGGATACTGCTTCAGTTTTCTCCCAACCGTCACCATCCTGTCACAGTACTTCAGCAAAAGACGCTCCATGGTCACTGCAGCGGCTTCCACGGGAGAATGCTTCGCCGTGTTTGCTTTCGCACCAGGTAGGGGACGCCAGCAGGCTCTGTCGCAGTGAGGGCTCCCCACGGTGTTCGTGCCGCCCTCGCGTTCGCCTGGTAGGGATGACTCGAGCGTGTGCACGGTGGGAGGCCACCCGCCTTTGCTCCTCCGGCGCATTTTTAGGCTGTGTCCCCTCACCCCACTTTAGGGATCCTGACCATTTTAGTGAACCCTAGTGGGCACATACTCAGTGGCCTGGCTTTCTCGACATGTGACTGCCAGGACGATGCAGCGATTTGGGATGGCTCAGACTTCTCTGACCTCTCCTTTTTCAAGACTTCTATTCAATGTGGATGTAAATTGTGTTGACAGATCCACTTCATTATCTGTGTGTAGCTAATCTCAGAGCCACGTTTTATCGTGGGTTTATTTTTCTCTCTTAATGTCAGCATGTGAATTACACGGGAACCACAGTAGTGGACAGATAACCCCAGGGGCCCACATTAATTCATTGCTCAGCTGTTTATTTTTTGGGGGGGTCGGAGTCTCACAATCACAGCCACTGCAGCCTTGACCTGCTAGGTTCAGGTGATCCTTCCGCCTCAGCCTTCCAAGTAGCTGGAACTACAGGCGTGTGCCACCACACCCGGCTAATTTTTTCATTTATTGTAGAGACAGGTCTCCCAAGTTGCCCGAGCTTATTTCAGACCTCTGGGCTCAGCCAGTCCTCATGGGGGTGTTAGCCATTGTGCTCAGCGGCTGTTTCTTAATGAATGCGTGAGTGGATTGCACTTGGTTCCTAGGAGATACAGGTAGAGGTGTTTAGGAGTGAATGTCATAATGTCTGAAGCCTTTCAAACGATGTTGAAAAATGAGTGTTTGTGTCTATATAAGTATAGACACAGACACAGGAAGCAGACAAAGAAGAATGTTAACTGCTGGATTTAGGTGAGGGCAGGCCTAGAGGTGCCATTCTCTCCACTTTTCTGTCGGTTTGAAATTTTCAAAATAAAACACCGAAGGAGGAAACGTCCGGGGATGGGTGTACGCCCTAAGGACAGAGACCGCCTCTCAGCTTTGTTCCCCAGCCCTGAGTGCTGTCCCTGGCACAGGGTGGGCACTCAAGAAATGTTAGATGGAGAAACGAAAAGCAGACCGCTTCTTGCCTGGTGAGTGAAAGCCCTTAGCAGCATACTACAGTTCTGAGCTTGCTGTGTTGAGAGAGAACAGAGGTCTGATAAGCACATGCTTCCGAGGGAAGGCGCCCTGAGGCACACGGGGCTCTTGGTAAGCCTCTTCTGTTGACCAAGTCACCGTGTCTGTCATGCTTGGCTGTCGCTCCCGCAGAACTGGAATGCAGTGAGATGAGATGGCAGTGACTATGACATGACCTTCCTGGGGTGACAAAGAGGAGGCTGTGAGATCTTGGGGCCTGCAGTCTTGCTGCGGGACTGGAGCTGCGGGCTTGTGCTCTCTCGAGCCATATCCTCCGCCTCAACTCTGTGTCCGGCGTCCCCCTCCAGAGGCCTCCGGTCAGCAGCCTAGCACCCAGCTTGATGGCAGGAAAGAGGGGAACTCGGGTGGTTGGGGACATAGCTCAGAGAGAAGCTGAGACGTGGATCTGGGAGAATGCGAGGCACTTTCAGCTTCCTTTTTTTTTGAGTCAGGGTCTCTGTTGCCCAGGCTGTAGTGCAGTGGCACCATCATGGCTCACCACAACCCCTCCTGGGCTCAGGCAACCTTGCTGCTTCAGACTCCTGCATAGCTGCGCTACCATGACCAGCTAATTTTCGGATTTTTTTTTTTGGTAGAGACAAGCCCCGCTATGTGGTCCAGGCTGGTCTCAAACTCCTGGGTTCAAGCGATCCTCCTGCCTCAGCCTCCCAAAGTGCCGGGACTACAGACGTGAGCCACCATGCCTAGCCTCAGCTTAGGCTCTCAGTTTTCATTTAACCTACTGCCCCCGAGGACTAAATGAGTGGATGTATAGTGACATGGCTCCGAGGTCGGTGCATTCTTCCTGTAAAAGGCCAGAGAGTAAATACTTTAGGCTCTGAGGGTTAGACCGTCTCTGTCACAACCACTCAGTCGTGTTGTCACATGAGCGACTATGGCCGTGTTCCAGTCAAGCTTTCTTAACAAAAACAGGCAGAGGACTGGATTTGGATGCGGGCCGCAAATTCGCTTTGCTGCTTGTGCCTCCACCTGGAAAAGCGTGCCCTCCGAAACTCTTTTGGAGGCCGGGGCCAAAGACTTTCATTCTAGACACCATAATTATCATGCATGTTTCTCCTTATTGACTCATAAAATGCACCAGAATCTCGAGTGCAGGGTCGTCAAGACTAATTCACACGCTGAGTAGATGTTCACAAAAATGATCGCTGACTCTGGATCGATGTTTCTTCCTGATGTTCTTTCTCTCCCGGGTCCTGAGTCCATCACTGACCTTGGATTTTCCCTCCCTTCCCTCCTGCCTGCTCAAGCCATCATGGCCCTGAAGGAGAACGTTGGCTGGAGGTACAGCCTCCTCTCTGTGGGCCTCCTCCAGCTGAACATTGTCCTCTTCGGGGCGCTGCTGAGACCCATGGTCATCAGACCGCCAGGGTCACCCAAGGCCCTCGCGCCGGAGAGCCGGAAGGAAGCGCAGTACATGCTCGAGAACGAGAGGACACGGACCTCGCTGGACTCCATTGACTCGGGAGTGGAGCTCACTACCTCACCCAAGAACGTGCCCAGCCACACCAGCGCCGAGCTGGAGCTGAAGGCGGACGCGCAGCAGGGCCTGGCGAAAGCCGGCCGCAAGCCCAGGGAGAAGGTCCCGCTGCTGGACTTCTCCATCTTGAGAGAGGAGAGCTTCATCTGTTACGCCCTGTTCGGTCTCTTTGCAACCCTGGGGTTCTTCGCGCCATCTCTGTACATCATTCCCCTGGGCATCAGCCTGGGGGTCGACCGGGACCGCGCCGCTTTTCTGTTGTCGACCATGGCCATCGCCGAGGTTTTTGGAAGAATCGGAGCCGGCTTCGTCCTCAACCGAGAGCCCATTCGCAAGATTTACATCGAGCTCATCTGTGTCATCTTGGTGACCGTGTCTCTGTTCGCCTTTACTTTTGCCACTGAATTCTGGGGTCTCATGTCGTGCAGCATATTCTTTGGGCTCATGGTTGGAACGGTCGGCGGCACCCACATCCCGCTGCTGGCTGAAGACGACGTCGTGGGAATCGAGAAGATGCCGTCGGCAGCCGGGGTCTACGTCTTCATCCAGAGCGTAGCGGGGCTGGCTGGGCCACCCCTTGCAGGTGATGTATTGCTTTTCTTTTTTCTGAGTCGCAGTCTCACTCCGTCGCCCAGGCTGGAGTGCAGTGACACTCTCACCGCCACCCCAGCCTCGACCTGCTGGGCTCCGGCGATCCTTCCGCCTCTGCCTTCCAAGGAGCCGGAGCTACAGGCACGCGCTACCACGCCCGGCTGATTTTTTGATTTATTGTGGAGATGAGGCCTCGCCAAGTTGCCCAGGCGGGTCTCGAACCCACGGGCTCAGGCAATCCACTCGCCTCGGCCTCCCAAAGAGCTGGGATGAGAGGCTGAGTCCCCGAGCCCGGCCTGCATGTGATTTAAGTACAAGCTACAAGCCCTTGTTACTTTCTCTCGTGAGCTGTGCTAGCTTCCTATTCAAATCTAATGAAAAGACATCTACTCCCATTACGTTACCTATTTATTTGAGTCGGGTCTCTGTCTGTCACCCAGGCTGGAGTGCAGTGGCACGATCACAGCTCACTGCGGCCTCGGCCTCCTGGTGATCCTCCCGCCTCAGCCTCCAGAGTAGCTGGGACTACAGACATGCGCCACCACACCCCCAGCTAATTTTTGATATTCTTGTAGAGACGAGGTCTTGTCGGGTTACTCAGAACGGCCTTGAACTCCTGGGCTCAAGCAGTCCTCCTACCTCGGCCTCCCAGCGTGCTGGGATCACAGGCATGAGCCACCACACCCAACCTTCTTCCATTTTTATACTTCCATTTGAATATCTGAGCTGCCAGGGACTAGAGAACACCTGGGCTAACCCTCTTGATTTAAAGGTGAGGGAACTAGAGGCCAAAGAATGGAAGCCAGAGGTCACGTGGTAAGTCAGTGATCTGTAGTCCCAGCTGACCAGGCTCTTCCTGTGGCCTGGCCCTGTCTGATGCTAGACAGGAACCCACAAGTTGGCGACCTTCGTGGCACTCTGACTCCTGGATAAAGGACCAAGGGACTTTGGTCAGTCACCTTCCCTTCAGAGGAAAGGTGTTTGGGACTGATCACCTAGCAGCCCTCTGCAAGCACGGACTGTATTAGTAGACAACAGTTCCTTGTAGGAGGAACGCGGGTGGGCCTCAGACCTTAGCTGTGAACTGGGCCTTACAGTTGCTGTGATTGGAATTCCCTTCTCCCCCAACCTCCGCTTACAACACCCGGAGTGGATTTTGAAAGAATACAGCTCTTTCCGACGGAGGGACGTCACGTTTTTGTTTGTATTTGCTAGAGACAGGGTCTGGCTCTGTCGCCCAGGCTGGAGTGCGGTGGCACCACCCAGGTCACTGCAGCCCCCAACTCCCGGGCCCAAGCCATCCTTGCGTTGGCCTGTTTTCTCCTCTCCAGCCTAGCAGAGATTTCTGCAACACCCCTTTTTCTTTGGGCAAACTCAATACAACGAGAAAGGCGGAGAAAGCATGAGGTGTCTGGGTGGCCAGGCAGCTGGGCGAGAGGGCCACGTCCTCCGAGCATGCGTTAACAGATGCCTGCGCTTCCTCGCAGGGTTGCTGGTGGACCAAAGCAAGATCTACAGCAGGGCCTTCTACTCCTGTGCAGCCGGCATGGCCCTGGCGGCCGTGTGCCTGGCCCTGGTGAGGCCGTGTAGGCAGGGACTGTGCCGGCCTCGTCCTTCGGCCGGAACACCGGCGGCGGGCCACCGCGGGAAGGCGCTGCAGGACGTCCCTGAAGACTTTCTGGAGATGGATCTTGCGAAAGGCGAGCACAGGGTCCAGGTGCAGATGGAGCTGGCATGACCGGCCTGCACACGGCCACGGCCGCTGTGACGGGGGCGGGGGGCCCGGGAACACACGGGGCCGAGGGCGCCCCACCACTCCACCTTCCCAATTGCATCTTGAAGGGAATGTATATGTGAACAGCACTACCGATCCCTTTTTCTTCTTTCAGGTTTGCTCTTTCTCCTTGTTTAAGCCAAAACAAAAACAGCCAAACACTCTTCCATATATAAATCTGGCTGTATTCAGTAGCAATACAGAAAATATGTAGAAGGAACTTGGGTTCACATTCCAATATTACAATAGTGGCACGAACTGGCAAAGTGGTTTTACGAGTATTCCCGTGAGATAAATGACTGTCTTATAAAACGACATCCAGCCTGGGTCATTGAAATGAGATTAACCAGTCCACAAAAAAAAAAAAGTCTTCATTTTTTAAATGTCTACATTTCAGAAATATGAATAAACTTAAAAAAAAAACACCTGTATTTTGAAAATACTGAGGTTTCTGTTACCAAATTATGGCCTCTGGATTTTACAAATATTGCATGGAAATGAGGTACAGCTTAAGACCAAACATTTGACTGACAAAACTTTTAAAAATACATATCACTTGAACTTCATAAATGTGAATGGAGACTACCACTTCTTTTTATGGCCAGTCATTACCAGAAACATCCCAATACAGAATATACAAAATGGCTTTCAAAAATGTGTTTCCTGTTGCTTTTAATTATCTAGAAATATGTGATTGTAGTATCTTTAATTTAAACCACTATTTATTATTAAGTTATTCTAGGATGATTAATCAAAAAATAAAATCTGAGGCAAAGCAGTATTTTACCACCTTTCTGCAACCCTTTAAATGCCTCAAAGTAGTAAAGTCACTCTCATAAAAAGCCAACTTGTAATGATTCTTCAGTTTAATTAAGGGCAACGTATGCTATTTAAAGGGGAAAAAATACTGGAGAGCAAATTGCCTTAGTATTCAAAAATAATTTGTTTTCTCACCTAAGAATACTTGAGGATCTTCTTTGATCATAACTGTGTTTCACTGAATTGTTGAAGTATTTCTGATTTGTTTTTTAAAAGTCTTTTGAGGCATTTCTGTATTTCAGATGGGGCAGCAGAGACATTTATGTTGTCATTGCGAGTTACAAGTTGCAATGTACATCTTATATAAAACATGACTTGACCCAAGTTGCCAGAGGCATCAGGTGACTGGTCATTGCTTTTGTTTCTGGAGTCACCTTACATGCATATTTCTCACCTTAGTAGTTTTCTTTGAAGAGGGCAAGTGTCAGGACAGTAGGTGGACTTTTCCTCACCTGTTCTGCCATCTCACCCTGCACGTGACGGTCACGGCTCGCTGCTCCACCCTTACTCATCTTTAATGTTAACTTATGTCAACTCAGGGGGAAAAACATAGCAGGCCTAGTTGGGTTCCAGGTACACACGAGCTTGAACGCTGCTCTGCACTGAAACGAAAGTGGCATAGTTCATCACCACCTGCTATAATTGGAATAGCATTTTATCGGCCATAGAAATAGGACAATCTATAAAACCTTGGGGCGGGTGGGGAGGAAGTGACGACATGTCTGCCAGTGACAGGCACCCTAAAACAAGATGGATGTAGCAATCTCTGTCACTGCTTGAGACTCTGAGCATGTGGCAGCTTTGCAGACTTACATGACTTCAGCACTTTACAACATATTTTTGCTATGAATGTTCGATACAGTTTAGTATTCATAACTGACTTCTGCGAGATCGGCTCTATGTCCGTTCTGTTAACTGCATGAAAAAAATGTATGCCAATTTCAGTATATCCGTGATCACGGTTTTAAATTTTGGAAGAAAATAAAAATAAGATCGCTAATTTGTTCTGTATTAGTGACATTCTGGTACTTCTAGATTTGCAATAAATTTATGGCTTTTTTATCTAAAGAGACTGGCTGATTTTCTTCTGCTATAAAGTATTTTATTGACTCTTGCAGCATTCAGTGTTTGATCCCATGAAAATTACAAAAACTGAAGGAGGTTTCATTTCAAATACATTTCTGAACTTTTTTGCACAATTTTTTAAAACTCTACTAGCGACATAAGAAAGGTCTCAAGAAGAGTCTATTGAACTTTTTTTGTCATTGAAAATAGGACAGCCGGGCTCGGTGGCTCAGCCTGTAATCCCAGCACTTTGGGAGGCCGAGGCGAGTGGATTGCCTGAGCCCGCGGGTTCGAGACCCGCCTGGGCAACTTGGCGAGACCTCATCTCTACAATAAATCAAAAATTAGCCGGGCATGGTAGTGCGCGCCTGTAGTTCCAGCTACTCGGAAGGCTGAGGCGGAAGGATCGCTGGAGCCCAGCAGGTCGAGGCTGCGGGGCCGGG